GCCGGTGGCGGTACCGCCCGGCCAGACTCGTTTCGTGTCGTCGCGTCTCGTCCCGCCCGCCATGTGATAAATATTATTATAAAATAACGGGCGTACATACGCGATCTCATGAGGCGGGACCCACAGCATGCGTTATTTTTGTTTAGGATAGGGAAGCTGTTGTTGTTGCTTCTCAAATGAATGTATCAAGGTCCAATATTCATTGATTGATATATTGTTTTTTTTTCCACTACTCTTGCAGGATAAATTGACATACATAGTCCAACCGCATTTTCTTTAAATTACTGTTATTTTTAGAACCATTTTATAATTGGTATAAGTTCTGAAACTAATAACTACCTCAATATTACTAAATGAATATGATAATTATCTTTGTGCATGTTTTTGGGAACTGAATTTAAAAGAATACGAAAATTCAATATAGTATAAGATTGCTATTTTAAACATAGTAACAGAAAGTTGTCAAAATTAGGTTTCTTAACGTAATAAAACTGGTGAAATTTGATTTTGTTTTTCTTTTCATTTTAGTATTAGTACCTATCCTTGAGCCAATCCCCAGAGAAGTCTCTTACGCCTGAATACTGATAGGCTGCTAAATTTTAAGTTTTCCCCAATATAGTGTTATATCTGTCATTTTACAAAGAATTAAAAGCTATACTTGAGCGCGACTATGATAAATATACTATAAATTGAGTAACCTTTTAGTATTCTGGCGTTAGTCCATAAAAATATTACATGAGCTTTACATATAACTCTTTGAGTATCGTAAAACGGGGTGAATAGAATTCGGTGTGAATAAATATTCTTCTAACATTTATTCACACCCCTCTCTTTAGTATCTATTCACTCCTCGAATTCTATTCATCCCGTTTTACCCTATCGTCGTTATAGACCATATCAGTGTTATAGACACAATTAAAGAACATAGGTTGCGGTCGTCGGTGTCCTCGCGGTGTTTGACAGTTATAGATAAGAGGATGCAGTTTTTCATTTAGCCATTTCCTTGTATTTTGCCGTCAAAGTTATGACACCATCGTCTTGACTTGTAGCAAGATTATTCAAAAACGCATGCATGAAGCGTTTTGAAACTTTGTATGGTTATTACTAGCATCAAGAAGGACCGAATACAGTTTTCAGCGAACTTATACCTTGTCTCATTTAGGCGCTGCGATGTTTTTTCGGATTTTCATAAAACCGCGGTAACTTGAAAACTATAAATATTTCCTTAAATCTAATTGGAGCACACAGGGGCACACATTAAGAGCTACTCGTGTATGTTTATTCTACAGGGGCACATGCAATGGTTTTAGAGATATACGATTCATCAAAACGTTACTCCAGCAGGAAACGCAATATCCCGAAAATCTGAAGGGGCACAGATTTTATTTTTGGGGGCACATAGTGGCACACATATAAGCTCTCTGGCCAGGCACATTTTTTCTCTCTCCGATCACTCGTTTAGAATTTTCCTGCTAGAAAAACGTTACCCCAGCAAGAATCATTTTTCCGTTTTTTTTTCAAAACGACAGGGACAGCAGATAAGGCACCAACTATACGTTCTACTCATATATCTCTAGGAGATACTTTCTTGTTGGTGTAACGCACACTCACTTTGAGAGTTCGAACTTCGAATTGAGTTTGAACTTTTATAGAATGGGTAGGTACCTAACGTACCTAGTCTAGCTGGTCGGGCGGCGGGGCGAGTGGCCCTTCTGCCAGCTCCACCTTTCAAGGTTGTTGATAGGTACTTAGGTTTACGATAACCCTGTAAAGTGTGAGGGTCTGAACCCTCACATCACCAGTCTGAGCTGAAGGTATCCTCATAGGATGTCGGAAATAAAATATGTAAATACTGCGAATAGACATTTATTTACGTAGTGCCACATATAGGATTAGTCGGGTAAAAATGACAAAATGCGTTGTTTTCTGAAAAAGGTATAGGAAGCCTGGAACTATGTGGTAAAAATATTTTTAAGGAGGATCGAAACGTCTTTCCGGTCGTAATTGTAGTCGTACGAGTTGTACGACTCTTTTTGGTTGTACTCTTTGTTATAATTCTTGGTTTTATAGAGGATTTTGACGAACTAGTTTTTGATTCGACTTGATCTTCTTTCAATTCTTTTGGATCGTTTACTATCTCTTCTGAATAGTTTTCGTCTGGATCACTGTATCCTTCATCTGAATAATTATCTGCTTCGCCTTTTGTTTTTTTAATTAGGCTTTTTCTATTTTTTGATTCAACTTGATCATGTTTTGCTGCTTGTCGTCTTTTAGTTGTTGTGTTATTTATGCTTTTACCATTTTTTGTTTCGCCTCCTGTTTCAGTTGTTGTTTTATTTAAGGTTTTGCCTTGTCGTCGAAAATTTGCTAAAAATATTGTATGTTTTTAGTAATTCGTACTTACTTATAAGTATTCTCAATATAGGTACCAGTTTCAACAATTAATGATACATTAGAAGTAGTACCTCTATGAGAGGTGAATACAATATGAAGAGAAGAAAATTAAAAGAAGTGGGTGTTCGAAACAGACAAAGAGTGACCTGTTACTCTCTATCCCTTAAACTATCTCCTCTTAAAAAACGTCAATTCGTCGCACTGTTTTGCCATGAAAGACACACTTCGTATGTACCTCTATAATATTAAAATATGTAACATATATACATACTTCACGCCTGTCTCCCATGGGGGTAGGCAGAGACTATGGAACGCCAATTACTACGATTCCTACATTAGGACCTCTTTCACTTCATCAATAGTCATTAATCTTTTCATGCATGCTCGTCGGTTAAGGGTAATTTTAATTTGGCCCTTCTTTAATATATCGCCAATTTGGTCAGTATAATGTCCACCTAGGGCGCCCTCTACCGACGGCCCCATTCATATCCGCTCTGTATACTTCTTTCGTTACTCTATTTTCATCCATCTTTTCTACATGTCCAAACCAGTGTAACATTCATTTTTCAATCCTTGTCACTACATCGTCTTTCAATCCACACTTTTCTTTATTAACACTATTTTTCACTTCATCACTCAATTTTACTCCACACATACTTCTCAGGGCTCTCATTGTAAATGCGAATGTTTCGGAGGACGTATGTGTGTCTGTTAATCTTTAACGCAAAAACTACCAAAGGGTTCGTGATGAAACTTGGAACAGGAGTAGATTATGGTCTGGAATAACATATAGGCCACTTTTTATTCCATGGGAATGCGGGCGAACCCGCTAGTAGAAGCTAATTATATACAATATGTTGATTTGTAACTCGACGTATTCTTCTTGGGAGGTGATAATATAACTAATTTCCTACAAAATTAGAGGCCCCTAGTCCCAAAGTTGCTAGTTTCTGAGATTTTCAACATTTTGGGTTTGGGTCAAAAAATCACGAACTAACTACAAAACATCAACGAATAAAAAATTACTGATTCAATTTCAAATTGTTTTAGTTTTTGTCTGTGCTCAATAACTCAACACGTCAATAAACATTATTTAATATACAAACACTGGCAGAAATACTATTCGTTTTCCAATAGCAACTACTTAAATTCGTATCAAAAATACAAATACCAAATACGTATTCATTTATTCAACGTCCTTGCGTATTGGTATTTCAGTTGCGTATTTTAATTATAATTACAAGTAATTGAATGCCCAACCCTGCATGTGTATGTGAGCTTGTACGTTTATAAACGAGTCCACGACAGAGTAAATCCTAGTGTAGGGCAACGTTTTTAAAGAAAAAACAACAATCATCATAATAACACTTACCAGAATCAGGCATCATTCGTCGGTTGAATCCTGAAACATTATTTTAAAACTCGTAATTTTTTGCTGTTTGTTAAAAATGATCTATTTTGCGATTGATAGTTTTTAACCGTACTACTTAACATTATCGCATCTATCTACCTCCGACAAATGAACCTTAACTTGTCATTGGGGTACAATTCCACACCTACCAAACCACTATTACAGTTAAAATTATTTTTTTTTTATACAGAAATCTGTTATATGACTGGGGAGACCTTAAAAAGGCGCTTGGCTTTTGGGAAGAATGACTAGGGAGTGTCTGATTCTTACCTTACTAAAACCTTTCCATCCGCACCTGTACAGGTCACCCACCTCTCAACTCAATAGACCAACCAACTTCTCTCTATGGTTATTGGGTGAGCGCCTGAGCCCCACTCACTGTGCGTGTGACTCCAAAAGTTTGCCTGCTGGTGCATGTAAGGCACCGAAGGCAGTTGCCATATTTCGCGATCCCACTCATCAACTTCCTTTTGGGACATTAGATACAGTCTTACAAACGCGTGGTACAAATTCTTCTAAGTATCTGTTATTGTTTTTTTATTTCTCCACTGCTGAAGGAAAGCCTCGCTTGTTAGCCTTCTACAATTCGTCACTTGTATTCAATGGCTTCCTGCGGCTTGCACGATGCTGCTAGTAGTACCTAGTACCTACCTACATCTAGATGTATCTACCATAGAACTTTTTTGTCACTTAAGCGATGCAGAGACTGTTAGTTTTGAATTATGAATATACCTACATATACGTATCGTATCCTACCATGCGTATACCTAACGATATAAATTGAAAATGCAGACAGTGAGAAACCTACCCATTACTGCAGTGCTGATTGGTGTCGTGCTCGTGGGAGTTGTAGTGTTGTTATCGTCGGAACGCAGACCGCACGTGCTATTAGCATCTTCGGTAAAATTTGCGGTAACTTCATCGTTTACAATGCCGCTCGACCGAAAAATTTTCCCAAAATCTTTTTATTATAAAAAAAATATTTTATAAAATAGTAACATATTAAATAAAAGTTGTAACAGAAAGTATAATATACAAATGTTAGGTACCTGATTTAAGCAGTTTTATTAAAAATAGGGCTTGCTTGATACTAGCGTCGTCATCTTCAATGTTTTCGATATTTCCTGCGATTTTCTCTATATTAAGACTTACTAGTACTAAAATCTCTGCTAAACACAGTAATTTTATATTCCACAACATTATAATATGATCATTTCTTTACCCGCCCAAAAAAAATACAACGATTTTTTCTATTGAGTTTTTTATATACAGTTTGATGAAAGTAATAAAATTTTGCGATATGATTTTCGTAAGACCATTTCAGTTTTCCAAGTGAACGTGTGAATAAAAAGCTACGCAGTATAAAAATAAATTGTTCTGACAAAAATACATAAAAACATTTTATTTTGCGTAGTATCAAAGAAGTTAATGTAATAATATTAGAAACAAAATTGAAATCAGATATAGGTACTGTAGCTGAACCCGACATGATGGTCAAAGAATTACAAGTGTATTCACAAGCTTAGAATTTAATGATTTTCTTTACGAATCATGAGACAGTTTTTGAGATAAAATTGTTGAACAATATGTCTGTGATGTGATGGAATACTTTTGTGTAAAAATAAATCTCAGCCCATTTGCTGGTCCCAATGACTTATGCCTCTAAATGCCCGTGTCTTGCCAAAAGTTACTAATTTCGTTGAATGGTGACTGAAGTTCAGCTACATCTGACGATTTACTGTTGATGCCCTGTCAAAGAAGACAAGAAAATGTTCAGCCGAATCATTCGAAATCTCCTTAATAAGTGGTAGTACTAGTGGTGAACCAAGCCATAGCCAACAATTTTGATCTGAAGTAGGAATATAATTATTGTCATCAGTATTATAAAACACTAATATGATTCTCCGACCAGGCTATTGTCAAATAGCCCATCTTTAAATAGGCTATTTTCTAATAACCTGGGTTTTCGCCCACGGAGAGCTTTCAACCCCAGTTCCCTCAATTTGGTGACCGTCTGCTGTGCAGTGCAGTACCTATGAGGTCGAAGCAGAGCTGTAACACACGGAGCCGCATTCATTGTGGTTTGAATACAAAATAAACAATGCGACGTGTCTTGACCATGCCGCGCAGAAGGTCTAAACTATGTGGTCGCACGGAAATATTGTGTGCCGCGAATGCCGCGCAGCTTGCACGCCGTGTTTGGTTGGACACACCTTAACATTGCTGTTGAAGCTTTGAAAACGCCGAATCCTATGCACAAGGGATACCGTTCCTCCTAGGTGGATACGCCCTATGCACTACAGAAATGCGGAAGCTTTCAGCAGCACCAGACCCACCGCTGTATTTGCTTTGTGGCTACCCTTTCCTCGAGTGGAGCACGTGGTTTATTATAGGTACATACTGCACGCGTAATAACTTAAAAGAATTTTGGCAACTCTAAAAAACTAGGTATAGGTATAAACAGTTCATGAAGTACTTATTTTTTGGATTTTTTATTTTTGAAATCATAGCACCTTAGTTTTAAGTTAGATTGATAGAACCAGGGGCGTAGCTAGCGCGGTCTTATCTGCCCTATCAATCGTAGCCCCCCCCCCCCCAGGCTACTTCCCAAGTTTTATTTTATTTCTGTAACAGTATAGGTGTGGGAGACCTATGCTTTGGCACGAATGGGCCGGTTTGACCGGAGTGATACCACGGCCTCACAGAAAATCGACGTCAAGCAACGCTTGCGTTGTGTTTCAATCTCCCCAATTCCTGAATCCCCAACGATCCTCAAACTCCTAATCCCCAAAAGGCCGGTAACGCACTTTTAATGCCTCTGGTGGTCCAGGTGTCCATGGGCGACGCCGATTGCTTACCATCAGGTGATCCGTCTGCTCGTTTACCGGCTTATGCCATAAAAAAAAAACCACAACACTGACTGCACGGTTGGTGCGGTGGCTGGGCAACTGGCTGCCCTGCAACGTGTCGCGTCGCGGGTTTGATTCCCGCACGGAACAACTCTTTTTTGATCCACAGATTGTTGTTCCGGGTCTGGGTGTGATGTGTATGTGAACTTGTATGTTTGTAAACATACCCACGACACAGGAGAAAAATCTGGTGCGGGGTAATATTTTTGTTTTTAGAAAATCTTTACCGGCCCGTATAAGCGGCAATATTACACAATTAAGCAAATAAAAGTTTGATATAATGAAACCTGAATCTAACGCTTCGACTTCATACACAATACACGTTCGGTAGAATATTACTTGAGTGACATTTACAGAGCCGAGTGGCGCCACTGACATGGCACCTCCTCGTCCTGGAAATGGGTCATGAAATCAGTGACCTAAAAACTATAAGGAGTGCTAGCTGTGCCAGGGTGCGGCGGGGTGTGAAATGCTCAATACTTATTAGATATTCACATGGTATAATTCCTCGTATCGCAGAATTTAATTAGGAATACGAGAGAGAACGCTTATGTACCTACATAATTATATCAAGTGATTTATGGTGAACAGGCATCGTGGTTGCATTTACACACATTATAAAAAATCACTTACTTAGTACATAATGTGCTGTAGTCAACACACAGCCAGACAGGTCTGGCCCAGACCCGAGATTCGTGGAAACACAAAAAATAGTTGCCGGAATCGAACCCGCAGCACATCACACAGTTTAGGTAAACGCACAAACTCCGGATCTATTTACATAACTGTGTGAATTTGCTATAACATTTTTTTAAATAAGAAAATAAAAAGGAACAAAGACTGTACTGAAAGATTCAATTAATAGGAAATTACAGTATAAATTAGTAAGTACTAATTTTTAGACATCCAATAAAGTAGGTACCTACTAACTACTAACTTTTAACTGGTATCTTGTAGCCAATCCATTCTTCCGAAAGGCAACTAGTGTTACTGGCCTTGGTCGCCTTTCGAATGGTTCGAAGTAATCCTATAAGCAGAAAAATACCGATATAAAAACTAATGAAAATTATTCTTATCGTAGGCTCCAAGCAGCAAGCTCAAAGATCTACAACCATAACTTTGCTTTCTTGAACTAGCAGTTAATGTCATTTGTTATGGTAACAATAAACAATCGAAAAATTTAAAAAATACATACAATTGAAAACTATTAAGCCCAATGTTTACAAACAAATATTGCGCCGGAGTATGTATACTTTGTGGCTCTAATGAATAACTAACAACATTTGGTACATAATTATATCGTACCCTACTAAATGAAGGGTCAAACCCTAGTGACAGTGTTTTAGCAATTTTCGTCAGCGAGTGCGGCGACTTGAGTAATATCTTATATCTTGCGTTGTTATTCTCCAACTCGTGTGGTTCCTGAAAAATAATAATCTTGTTTTCAATGTTGCCTAGACCTGGAGAAAATTTAGTACCCAAGTAACAAGATTGCTTTCCAACATGGTTTGACGTAGGTAAACCTAGAAGTGGATCACTGGGTATGTCTATACAGTATACTAATATTATAAAGAGGAAAGATTTGTACCTATTTTTGTATGTTTGTAATGAATAGGCTCAAAAAGTACTGGGCCGATTTAAAAAAATCTTTCACCAATAGAATATACTACATTCTTCCAATTTAACATAAGCTACATTTTATTTAAAAAAAAAATAGGTATCCTTGGTAAAATTTGAACAATGTAACCGAAGGTGTAAAAAAATGAGTCTTAAAATGTCTTTCGTCGAATGCGCTGCCGAAACTATTAGCGATAGAACCAAATAATGTACGACAATATTGAAGAACATCATAATGTCTACAAAAAAGTCCGCGGTAGCATATGTCCAACTATTGTAGTTATGTCACTACAACAATCCAAATTTCCAAAAATAAATAATTATCTACTGCGTGCGAAGCCGGGCCGGGCTGTTAGTATATGATAAAATGGTGCAATCTAGAAAACTATATTCTATATTATTTAAGTCTAAGTTGAAATTGTATCTATACAATCAGTACAGGGGCCAAATTGTTATGAATAGGTTAGCCAGTTTACATAGTAGTCATAATTTAAAGCGTTTTCGGAAAAGTACTAATAGCCTGAGCCCTGGGACTGGTTTTCCTGTTAGTGTTAATGGTTATACGGATATGTCTGATATTTTAAACAAATTCAGAGACTGTTTTAGTGTGCATTCACCGCTGGGATCATCGTCGTCCATGGATGATGTCACTAAGTTACCATTCTCAAATTGTGTGACGACTGACGGTCAGATTTTCAGCTAAGGAGGTTAGAAATGTAATAGCTTGTATGCAGCGTGGGAAGTCTCTAGGGACGACGGACACTTGAGGCATGCTGGAGTTGATCTGTCAAGTACAGCGTACAGTACAGTGTACAGCGGGATATTAGCTTAACGCTAAAATCCTACTGTACAGGATTACCTAATGCTCATGACTACAAGCTAACGTTATCCTACACTATCCTAGCTAATCTAACACTTATAATATCCTATTCTAGCTTTGCTTAGCGTATGATGCGTATAGGCTTGGTGCTCTGTGGTATTCTGGGATACAGACCAGCACTTCTACGCACCTACTACTAGGCCCTTAACCTAAGGCACGTACTATCGTGGTACACTGTGGTATGCTGTGATACAGACCTACGCTTCGTACGCGCCTAATGCCCTAGCCCTACAGTCCCTAGACCCTAGCCCTACTATACGTATTTTTATATACTTATATAGATAGGTGCTGGATATCTGCCACCTGAGAGCTATGATGGCAGACGGAATGTGTGTAGGAATGGGGTATGGTGGTGAGGGTTTTCTCACTGCCTGCAGACTCACACGACAGATCGGTCGATGGCTAAAAGTGTCTTGGCCACAGTGAGAGGTGGAGCCTAAGGGTAGTGAGTGACTCAAAGTCGGAATCAACTAGTGACTGTTTTATTTCTTATTCTACATGATCATATATACTAAACTTATCCTATGTACACACATACCACACTATGATTGTGTGCTGTGCGTGTAATGTACCATCTCAGCGCTATATCCTTACGCGAGTACGTGATGTTTTTCTTAGTTGTATACTCCGGAATTAATATGTTTTTTCAGTACTTTATCACGTAGGATTATCTCGCTGACATGGCACGTTCATGTGTGAACAGCGGGATATAATGAGAACTGTTGTTTAGTGAGAAGTATTTTACTAAGAAGTATTGGAATAATTTTCTGAAATAAATGATTTACTATTATGTACATATGTCTTTACGGATTAAGGGACCACAAGATCTTGGTCATTTGGGAGGCGTACGAGGGGCCGAAGCCAACAGTGCAGAAGCCGTTTAGACAACTTTAATCTAAATGTAATGGGACACAAACCGGCGACTGTCCCTGTATTTACTATAGAAATGCACCCAAAGACAGTCCCCGGTTAGTGTAAAACTATTGTATATAATGGAGAAAAAATGGTTATGGATGGGTTGCTGTGGACTGGTTAATTGGGAACTCTGGATGACTATGGCACCTGCCGAAACAATGTAATTATAACATGTAAAAGTGGCAGGGGGCGACTCGACAACTCACCGACCGGGCCCAGGTAATGGTTGCTAGGTACAGCAATAGAGGGACAACGGAAATGTTAGTGGCTGGGGGTGAAGAGACTACCACCGCTTCTACTCAGATCATCTGCATATGCCGAAGCATCCTGCATCACTGGCCATCCGCGACTTACGAATGGTTTCGTACCATCCGAGCAGGATCACTGCTCTCTCGACTCCACTCTGGTCGACCAATTGAGCCAAGCCAGAGATGAGAGACCTATTTCTCATCATCGTTCACTCCATTCAGCCAATTAAGTCAAGCCGGAGAGCAAGAAACGGTGCCTTCTCTCTAGGGCCCTCGGGATGATTGTAGCCAGTAGTCAACGTATATTATTAAAACAACGTACCTATGTTTTCATCCCTGTGTACCTAAACACTGACTACAGTCAGTTACTTGTACGATAGTGATCACTGAAGTTATAAAAAATTAAATGTTATTGTACATAATTTTCACATTATTACATTCACAGAAATGCGGCAATTACATTAACAAGTTTGAATTACAATCGATACTGACACTGCCCTCCAAACTAAGCTAAAAGCTTGTATTTTGGAAAACAGATACTAGTTACTAAGAAAGTAAATAAAGGTACATACTCTACTTATATGTGACATTGGCTGGTTTGTCCGTAGAGATCCATGCTTCAATGTGTCTGCCGTCGTTGACACCTCATTAATCGGTGTTTTAAACGTAATCTTTGTCTGCATGTCTTTTGGCGGTTCTTGTGTAGCTGAGGAAAAACAAATGCCTTAAGAAGTATTTTTCTACTGCTGATTACGTAGGTATGTGCCTATGTGACCTAATTCAGCGAGTAATATGCATTTAAGTACCTATTTTATGTCGCCATGCATCGTCGCGTTCTCGTGGGATAGAAAGTGGCCTTTGTGTTATTCTACACCATAAATTACCCCTGTTCCCACCCATCCCGATGCCTTCAGTTGTTTTGACGTAATTGAGTAACAAACATGTGTATGTTTGTTACTCAATTACGTCAAAACGCACACAAACTCACATATTTTCACATTAAAATATCGGTTTAAGTAATTTCAACCATCGGTCCTACAGTTAGAGCGTAAAGTCTACTGCGGGCAACCTAACATTCGACAAACTTATACTTCCGTTTGGTACAGTAACTTTGCCTAGGGGTTAAGCCGCACAATAAAATCAGTTTTTCGTGTATAAGTATATTTATTGGGGATAAAAATCACCCAGTGTTGTGCCCTGGTTATTAAAGTATAATCATACGAAGTTTCATCGTAATCGGACCGGCAGTTTTAGCGTGTTGCGTGAACATACAGATAGATAAAAATTTAATAACATTTTTTGGATTCGGTATCTATCTAGTAACTACTGTTTTATTATAATAGGAATGATGACAGGGTATGAAAATTAAAAATCTAATTTGTCCGTCAGTTAGGTAGGTAATAAAAAATATTAGACACATGATAATGATACTTAGAGGTAGATACATCGAATCAAAGTTTAGGAGTGGGGGCTAAAACGTCATTTCTACGCATAAAATGTACGAAATACCGTCGAAAGTATTCGTTTCTGTAAAAAAATAAAAAATACCTACTTGTGTAATGTTTTAATTAAAATAAAAATTAGTCATCTACCCTATTATGTATAGATATAAATTTTAATTAAATACTTTTACAAGATGTACCTACCTGCATTACATAGGTACTCAATGTTAGGGTAGGCAGGTATCTTATTGAAAAAGAACGTTGGTCTTTTCCCGTAGAAATTACCACAGCAGATACCTATGTATGCGAGTATAAGAAAACTGGATCATGTGCATTTAACTTCATTAGCTGTCTCCAGCGGTCTCATGTCATACGGGCCGGGTGTCCCCTTTCTAACACAGTGTGATACGGGCGCAGCCCTATGGGATTGCCTGACCTATATTCCATAATTCTTTAAACTCGATTTTACACCGTGTTCAACTAATATCGTAAACTTTAGCATAGTCATTATTATAAAGTTGTTACCAGTGAACAACTTAACTTACATAACCAATGTAAATGTGAGAGCCCTGTAATTAACTTAATATTAAATTAGATTAGTAGAATTCATTTGTGTCAGCTTGGAGTTGTCATGCTCACTCAAAGGTCTAATTGGCGGTGGCGCGTGCAGTGGGTCGCTCGATTCCCTACAATATGGTTGAGTTGGGCGGTGCTGGTGTACGTGTCATGTTCGTGAACTGGTCAGCTCCAGACTGTATTATTGTCCTTAAGGTTATTTTCTTTTTTTGATCACTTTGACTGGATTTTCGTGTTACATTGTTCTCGCACAATCCAAACAGCAAAACTATGTAACTAGTAAATTGTATTGTGAACCTGATTGAAAAAGAGTAACCTATGGAGTTTCTTGCTCGTTCTTCTCCATAGGAATCTACACCTTGGAATGAGCAAATAGCTTCACTTTAATATTTTTTTGACGTTCAAAAGTGCCATTCTGGCCTAATTGAAATAAATGATTTTGACTTTTTGAACATCTACATATAATAAAAAAATGCGAACATGGAATAGAAATGTTATAAACGCAGGTAGGCATTTAAGTACGGTTTTTTCAATCTTCGCATACCCAAATTTAAGTGGACTACAAGTTTCTTTGGAAGTGATTTCTAAAAGCTAGTAGCTAAGTACTTACATTCACATGCTGTAAAATGTGCCAAAATAGGCAGAACAGACAACGTAATTAAGATGTACATTTTATTAAGTAACTGCTAAGAACTATGTGATACAACAATCGTGCGAACCTCACTGAATTATCGATGGAACTGACGATGATCCGTCATATCTCTTTCTGGTTGAAATTCCATGAAAAATATGTTTACTTCAGCTTGTAAACATTCGATGTTACGCAGGAACTCGCGGCGTGCAGACGCTATTCCTCGAACGCACATTGTCGCTTTGTAACAGGACCTTAACAGGCCGATCATGTTGATCAAAAAGCAAACATGATCGCTTACCATGATACCATCAGGTGATCCATCTGCTCGTTTATTCTGCTCTTGCTAGGTATTTTGTATCAACAAAAATGAAAACTAAAGATAGAAGAATAAGTAGTTTATTCGACCTCACGTAGGTCGTCTGTCATATTGTAGAAAGTGGCATGACAAGGGGCGCGTGCACAGGGCCTCCGCTGTTCTTCTCGTTCACCGTGCGCGCATCGGCCTGCTACACACAGCCGGTAGCGTGTGATGGTACCAGCGCCACACGTCACTGAACAGTCTCCCCATTTACTCCATCGACTCCAAATTTTCCGATTCTTTAATGTTTTATCGTCTTCACACGAAACTGCTTGAACCAAAATGATCTCGGTCAAACGATGCACTACTTAAATACAAAAGTTTATGCGATGGGCGGAACGTTTGGGGTGGTTTCCGATATGAATATGCAAGGGGTGGGTCACTACTGCATAGAGCGCTCCCCGCTACCCCCGAAATGGTCAATACCTACTCGTCTCCTCCATTTGCAACAAAACTGACGTGATTGGTTGCTAGGAATCATCGAATCATCGCTCACGTATTGGCAAAAACGTCTACCTACATTCGAATATAGCTCAGACACACGATGATAAGTACTACCCGTAGGGTGAGTTGTGATAGATAAATACTGAAAGAATGGTAATTACTTAGTTTAGTACATTATTATGTAGAATACTAGTTAAATGGGGCATTTAAAAATACCGAATACATAAATACGAATTGCGATGAGATGCCAACCTGGATCATACTCTGAATCGTCAGGTTCCAATATTTGCTTGTTAACTTTCTCGGAATAACCCACAGTCGCTGAAGTTTGTTTCATTTGCATAGGTTTATTTTTATGTTGTTCTTCTCTAACCAGATCAATTAGTTCAACAGGACTCAACAACAATTTATCTTCCTTTCTTACTCTATGAGCATGTGCAACACTGATGGCAATTGTAATCAAAAACAATATTTTCATTGTAAAGGTAAAAAAACCGAATTATGGAACAAGACGACAAAGTATAAGTAACGTAGTCTTTGACGACAATGTTTGACATTTTATGACAACGACAACTTTAGTCTGTGATCGAGGTGATGACAAGAATATCAATCAAAATCATCACGGTTGACGGTAGTCACAATTATCTGTGCGAAGACACATTAAAAAGTTTTGTACGGTATGATTAACATGACCAGTCGTCCCGGTTTGATTGGTTTGATTACGAGTCCCGTTGTCCCCAAAATGAATTCTGGAACGCAAAATAGTTTTGCGTCACCCCATACTCACAAATGTTTGACGAAATAAAGTCGAAAGAACCTTTTAGTGCAGTTACTAATGCTAACCTTTTTGTATAACCATAAAGTTTGTGTTTACATGGTCTATAATAGGATGTAGCTACCAGGTGCTGGACTGAATCTAAATAAACGAATGTATTACATAAGGATAATTTTTTCTATTCCATGGATGTGGATCATACCTAACGTGACCATTTATTTTTTGAGTAAAACGGGACACGTCACTAAATGGGACGGGGGCTTAATAAAATATCACGTGTATTATTTATTTTTAAATTAAAAAAAAATGTGTAGTGAGTGTGGAGTTGATTCCACTTCCTAACTCCATAAAAGTATACCTTAACTTAAATCAAATTAGATAAAAGGTACCTATTTGTACTACCTACAATATGTTAAAATACAAGTTATTTTGTATGTTAAAAAAATACACGTTTTGTTGGGCAGGGGGTTCATCTAAAACCTCACCACACATCACCAAGGGGAGGGGGGATCAAAAAGCACTAAAAGCCTCATGTGATTAACGGACGGTCAACCTACCCAGCGCGAACCATAATAGCAAGGTTGGGGGTAAGTTCGCGCATTATGTGAAGGTATTTTGTCATTATTTCTCAAAGTCACTATTATTTTCATTCACTACAAATTCTTTTTTTTTTTAATCTTATGTTAACGTCCTTAAAAGTAAACATAATTAAAAATTAATCTAATGATGGCAGTAATCAATAACCATGAAATAATGGAAAGTTAATTTCTTCTAAGTAAGGTGGCTTATGGGCAGGCGCGCTACATCGTACCACCGGGCGGGATAGGGGCCAAACGTCGACCGATCAAATATATTTAAAAAAAAAGTAGAATTAATAAAATATATTTTTTATTGAATTAAATTGGACTAAATATAGCACCTGCTTGCCTACTCATTGTGCTACATATTTCTCCCATCTGTATGGCAGCTTTTAAGGTTCCAAATCGTGTACATCTATGACTGAAAACAGCGAGTGAAAGGGACTTTTATCGTATGAGTCCGCTGTCCACTGGCTGTCAGGCTGTCACCCCACTACGTCCATGGAGCCGATGGAGCGTGATATTAACAGAGGAGTCTGAGTAGGTAGATTGATTATGATTTTATATATTTTAAATATTCTGATATTATAATATAGACATGCCATTTTATCCATGATGTGCGGGAAGTACCGGGAAAAGTACCGGGATTGGAATTATGTAATAAAATAAAATAAAATAAAAAACATACAGGCTAACAAAGTCGTTTATTAAATGAATGATTGATCGAATTCAATGAACAATTTATTACACAATACGGGAATTTCACAAATTAGGAGCTCACTCTACGATCCGAGGTAAGCGAGTGAGATATACCTACCTACCTACCTGGAAGTCCAGGAACACAGCGCGCGCGCATTATTCTTACAACTTAACAAGCACCCAATGTAGGATACTTGCTTCTGGTAGGCGTTGTGAATTTTGTGTAAAATAAAATACTGATTTTTTCACCATTAGCTAACATTGGCAGCGTAGATTGATGTTTTTTTTTTATTTAGATTTATTTAGGATTTTTGGTTTAAATTAATATATCAAACCCATTGTTCCGTAGATTGATGTTAGTAATAGGTAGGTACCTACTAATACGATTTTCACCTTAAACAAAAAATCGTGCTAATTTCAAAATTCCGGATCAAATATCACAATAAACATGAAGTTGGAGGTAATTCCATATATATCCTCTACGTTTGACGCCAACGATCATATTAAATTAATCTACCTACTTGCCTCTGAATATTAGTTACTTGCCTCTGAATATTAGTTATTAATTATTTTATACTAGCTGACCTGGTAAACTTTTACCTTCCCTAGACTTCTACAAACATTTCAAGACCAAAATTAGCGAAATCAGTTCAGCCGTGCGTTCTAGAGTTTAAGCAAAACTTGCGAACAGAAATGAATTTCTGTTGATTATATATTGTAAGTACGGTAGCAGCTTTTTTTTTAAGTGGGGAATTCATCGAATGACTGCTCCCGCCTGGGTGAGGCGGGAGGGAATGTCGGACTCTTACTGACTAAAAACCACCCCGTTCCTTCTTCTGCACGTCGAGCCGGAGCCCCGGTTACCCGTTGGGCGAATGGCAGAGTTGTACGGGCGTTACGTGACTACAGCAAAAAAAAATATTGTTTTGGAAGGAATATTTTTTGGTTTAAACTGTCAAACACCGCGAGGACTCCGGTGACCGCAACCTATTGTTCTTTAATTGTGTCAATACCTATGTAATGACGGTACTCGACGATTTAATTAGGTAGTAGTCAACGTTGTAGGCAAGCCCTATTAAAAATCTTAGATTTTTAGAAGTTGGACAGGTATAAAGTCTGGACCCACACTTTAATAGTAACAATTCCTATACCGTTGGATAGGGTTTTTTAAACGGAATTAGTCTCTAATGTATCTATGGTCAAATGTTTGTGATTTCGGAGATACTGTGACTCAATCTAAAATATTCCATAAGGATATTTACCTACAACATTTTTATATTAAGTATAAGGTAGACTAAAAAGGTAGGATCAGGAGCACCGAGCGGCGTATCGCCTGGGTTTGGAGTCCCCATTTTGGTGGGATAAACAAGATAAAATTATTAACAAAGAATTTATTTACGGAAATCAATAAATCAATAAATACTAACTAAAACTAAGCTAGGGCACACACAAAAAAATAATACAAGTCAAGTCGACTAACGAACAGACCTATAAGGTCACGGTTCGTACAGTGGCAGCGCCACCCCTGAGAGGTTACAAAGTGTATCGGCTAATGAGCAACAATACAGCTATGTAGAATATACAGCAGGGCTGTACCGGGTAAACCGACAGTTTTGTCGGGAGCGAGGCTCTAATCGAGTCAGATCCGAAGATGAGACTGCCGGCATAAATCAGTGCAGGCTCTTATATAGGGCGATGCCGCGATGCCCCCTCTTTGCACTCCCTCCACAACAACTCTGTCCAATGGCGCACTTCCGCCACGCGTTTACCAAAAAAACTAACATACTCTAAATCTAATAACATTTAGATAGTTACAATTAACCAAATATTACAAGAATAATTATCGTAAATAAACTATGATGATTTAACAACGATAAACCGACTTTACAAAAAAATAATAAGATGACAAGCAGTTATTTGTTTTGAACAGAACCAACAACGTTTACTTTTCTCGAATATGTTGCCAAAATCAATTCGTAGGTAGTCGATAAATCATGTTTCAAATTTACAAAAAGTAATTAGTAATAAAATCTAACATTAAATCAATAATTGGAACAAATTAAATTAATTGCCACAGATTATCTACAATTTCCTTTGGCAACCATCTTCGACATATAATTAGTATTAAGGGTAGTAGAAAATCTTGTTGTTATCGGTCGCCAATGTTAAACAACCCCGCCCAGATTGGTCAGTGGATGTTCATGTATAATAGCGAGTTTCCTTCATATTTCGGAAGGAGGAGTAGGAGGGTAAGAAATGACTTTCAAGAACATTTATCTTGTAATAAAGTAAGCTACGATTATCAATTATCTAGAGATCCTTACTTCTTTGGAAACATAATAGGTATGATATGAAACGTCTGGATGAATTTGAACTTCTACAAATAAATAATGTTACGTGGAAATGAATGGTTTACATAGTTGCCTAAGTGGTGCAAATTGTATCTGGGAACAACAAAAAAGTATGTTGTACTAATTCTGCCTTTCGCCTTTCTCTGGTACATCTTCAACTTTATTGTATTGGCATAAATCGAAAATATCGTGAATTTTGACAAAATGGTGTTTTTTAAGTGGGGAAAATCATTGAATGACTGCTCCCGCCTGGGTGAGGCGGAAGGGAGTGTCAGACTCTTACTGACTAAAATCCACCCCGTTCCTTCTCCTGCACGTCGAGTCGGAGCCCCGGTTACGACAAAATGGAGTAGGTTGAACAGCAGCCAGCAGGCCGCTGTACAATAAAGTACCTACATATTTCCCTATTGTTTTCTTTTATAAACATTACATCAATCGAATAACAGCGAATACCCATCCGACAGTCGGATAAAAAGGGAAATTATCACTTTGGAACTCACTATTAGTTCGGTCAGTACATGTAGGTATATTGAAATAAAACACAATTTATTTTCGTATCATTTATTCGAGATATTTCTTTGGTTACACCTTATACATTATCTTTACTACAGATACTGAATCTTAAAAAAATATATACATATGAATTGAGATCTATTCACCTTATTAAAGACATTTAAACAGATTTAAAAATGATCAACTCATTGTATATTTCAATACGTTGGATTATAAACAGTAAAAATAAGTGCTTGTGAACATTTACTTTGTCGACATTCAAAGGGTAGGTGGCACATTCACTCATAGAATTACTTAGACTAAGGTATGCACGCAAGTTAATGACAGGTACGATATTAAGGGACCAATGAGTGAGAAAATAATTTATTTCGACAACATTTAGATATCACTTTATCATTTAGATGAGGTACCTATCTATTAATTAGGTTTTGTGAACACATAATTATAAATACAAGAAAAGTTTCCCACACGCACGCAACAATAAACTTCTTTCATATCATAACTAGTTGCTGGTATAGCAATAATTAAAAATGTATAATTACAGCTAGGTAATACATGGACAATTACAACACAATACAACTCCACGCGACTAATGTCGATAAAACTTTACTATCGATCCCTATCATTGACTAACTTTCTTTCAACCATCTAAATGTCTATTGCTAACTATTGTTCTCGTAATATGAGGTTCGCTTGCCTTTGTGGTTTTGTAACGAATCAAAATATTAAAAACTATATATTATATTGTATATATCTTCATAAATCTTATCACAATCGGTTATGTATGACGATTATCACCTATTTGTAAACCGCGTAGCACAAAGGGAATTTGATATTGCATTAATTATTTTATTGTCAATGCTTTTGATAAGTATTCCATTTATTGCCAAAAGCTTGTTAGGCTGCACATTTATTTATCACTGTCATATAAAGTGTTTATGAGTGGTTCTGACCAATCCACACGTGCATGTATTTTGAGATTTTATATGGAATAGGAGGCAAACGAGCAGACGGATCACCTGATAGTAAGCGATCAGCGCCGCCCATGGACACCCGCAACACCAGAGGAGTCACAGGTGCGTTGCCGGCCTTTTAAAAAGGAATACGCTCTTTTCTTGAAGGTTTGGATGAGGCTGCACTTTTGTAAATTCTGCACATTATTTCCAGTCTGCCTCTGAGTATTATTTATTACAGTACAATGTGTTGGCCGGTCAGTGTCGTAGATTTTTACAATAAATGGAATAATTACAACCACCTCAAAGAACGGCAAGTAATAGCAGAGAGATTTAGTATAAACATGAAGGGACACTAATATAAACTGTAATTTTGTCTTATAATAATTTTTATATGTATTAGGCCCAGATATGAGTTTAAATATTACGGCGGGTGATTAACAAAGTGTTGAAGTCAAAGACCTTGGTACGAGTTTGTTTTACGATCAAAGTAACCGAAACGAGACCGCGTTAGGCGTTCTGATTGGCCGGCTCCAATGAACGAACCAATCAGAGCCCCGAACGCAGTTCCGTTTCGATTAGTTGAAATGTAAGGCAAAAGTTACTAAGGCCTCAGACATCTACGCAAGCGAGCGTTGTAATTTAGCTGGTCATATTAAAATGTAGTTTACTGTATAATTTAGTTTGTGCAAGATGAAGAGTGTGCAGATATATGATAATAATTACATTTTATGCTTTGAAAGCACGATAGATAAACAATGACGATATTGGTACATACAAATTTTAAATTATTAACTACTTTTAGCGATCATTACAATTATTTACATAGGGCATGTTATCCCATTTTGTATATTCAGACTTTTGAGTAATGTCTTTTAATTTTGTTGGTATTGATTAGAATATTTAACAACTTTACTATGAAAAAATTTGTTTTACTTTAGCTTTAACATTGAGAAATTAGGTAATAAGCATAAGCATGACATTTAATGTTACCTACGGTGTACTACGCCAGATTAAATGCCAAATAATCCAATATCAATTGATGAAACACCGTGTAAGTACATAATTTATAATAATTCTAGTGTTCGATCAATTCATATTTTATTGCCCGGCATTTGATTTTGCCTATTACAACCACTAAAATAGTTTTATCATACATCAACAAATAAGGTAAAGTTAGAGATCGATTTGATTTAGGTTTTACTTATAAGTATTGAAGTGCACAATAGATAGTGTCGAGAAATTTATAAATTACATTTACTAGATAGCATTTAGCCATATAACATAAGAATGTTTCAGTCTATCTAAATACACTAGCACTAGAAATCACGTGACTAGATTTGATTAACAGATTTATGTGTGATGAAGTTTTTTTTATAAAATTACTGACTACTCAGGTCACAGTGGTAATCTAACTAAACTACATGGTACAAAACCTAAGGATTGTCATTAATACGGGACCGGGCTAAGTAACGAGTAAACACATTATGTTGCCATATTTGTTGGTATCTACCACTTCCGTTATTTGACTAGAAAACCATTTTTTTTTATTAATTCTTGATTTAAGTATCCGTTGGTACCGTCCGATCCCCTATTATCAAATGAACTACAACCGAAATCATTAGCTACATAAAACAACAATCAATGTATAAGTTAATTTATTACAATTACTTTATTTGATTCATTTGTTTACCTATATTAACGAACACTATACTTCAGTTAGCTAAGACATAACAAAATATACACTTATAAAATATAGCAAGACAATAACAATGAAAATAATTGTTATAGGTATAATGTAAAGTACATACAACAACGAATTAATAAAAACCGTGCTGACTGATATACATTAAAGAGGGTGTCTAAGTAGTTATTTAAGGCAACCTATTGGGTATGGAAGTTCAGTCACACTGTAATTGCAGGTTTGTAAGTACTACTTACTTAAGGCGAAGAATTTCGTACTGATTCCTATGTTGTGACTGTTACAACATAGTTTGTTATCAACATTATTATTTATTACTATTTCATTTATATAAAGATCAAATATTATGAAAAAGTTGAAGTTAAGAAATTGCTAAGTATATTTTTATTTGTAAGTCAATTTTAATGGTTACATCGCTTGTAAAATGTGTTAACAGGCCTGTTTAATCTGTTCTTGACTATTATTATTTACCTTAACCTAGTAAAATATTGCATGTGTTTCATTCGTCCCGTAATTATAAAATAGGTATATTTATTTGAATTAATAATAATAAAGGCTCGTCTTAAGTCCGGCTGATATATTGCGAGTGTTATTTGTGAATGTGTTGTAAACGTACGACAGATAGGCTATACCATGTAACCGTCAAATCGAACTTTCGAAGGAAACGGAATCGTATTCTCGCACGTCATTGGTCGAGATTATTTTCTAACAATCAATGACATGGCAGACCGCGATCAAGTTCACTTCGATCTTTAGAATTGAAAGATGAAGAATAGCCTAACTGTATCGTTGTTCTTAACTAACAATTGGCCGTACGTATACAATACTTTGATAACATAATTATATGTATCTTACAAATATTATAGTAAATAAATCGTCTTCTAAAGCGTATAATTTGCAAGTACATATATCTATTACACGTGAGTAAAGTCGAGTAGTGTGTGACCCGTTTCTATCGCTTACATTAACACTAGATCCACTATTACTTATAAATATCTCTCTTATTACTTTTATATACCTACAATTTTTCGCAAATATCCCTTGTAATGTTATAAATAGATATCTCTTGTGAACTATATACTAGATGGAACATCTACGCGCTGTTAGCGTACGTAGTACCATTTTGTACCTGCATTTGACAAAACAAGTAACACCAGGATTTTACATTAATCCTAATAGAATCTTTCGAGAGATATAATGTTTATCAGGTAACTAGTGCATAACATGAAACTGGTCACTCTACATCAGACCATAAACACGTCATTATTTTAATAATATTATCTGGTGTTTAATATTCCTTACGTTCCGTTATAGTGGGAGCGTTGCCGATAAATAACTTCTAACTGGTATTTGTATATTGTCTTTGTATAGTAATATAATAATATCTATAAAATAACATTTTGCTAAGCGACCTTGTTTTATTGCTATCTTATTGAACTATGTAATTGTATTTTAGAATGTGTTCTAACTAGTCGTAACTAAATACAGGCAGCCATGTGCAGTGTTTTGTGACACAATTATTACATACCCATATTTTTCAAATACAAAAACGGTGAAACAGACGCATGAATAATATTTGCTTAACGAAACCACGAACCAATTACGGTAAAAGAAATAATATGTTGTATGAAGGAGCGCAGATGTTCATCAAACTACCCCATAACATTAAAGAAATCCAATCCGATAAATTACTAAATAACTATTCAAAATAAGCTTATTTAGAATACACATGTAAAAATACACATGTACAAATAAAAATATATATACAAAAATAATAATTATAATAATAATTTACTATCTTTTATATTTTTAAATATTATTTTTTATTTTATAAGTAGTATTTAAAAATGTAATTTGTAGAGAATTTTAAATAAATATATGTAAATAATAATAAAAAAAACAAAAAAATGTATACTACAGTAACGTTTATCATACGAAAATAAAAATTAAATGTAACTAACAAATTAATTAGAAAATGGTAATAAATAAAAGAAAAACAAAAATCTGTATAGAACTAAATAAGTCTATGAGATGCTATTAACAAAGCGGCACGTAATAATAACCAACTTTAATTTTTGTGATACCCACATTGGTGAATAATTTATTTAGTATGTCTCACGACAGTTACAATATGAGTTATTTTTGTTATATTTTTAGTAATACCCACATTGTTAACTAACTATATATTTTAGTAGAGGAATTTCAATGTACCGCCCGCATGCTCATACTCTGTAGGTACTTTAATTTTAAGTTATCATGTTTTCTCATATCTTAAGTGAATTGTATTATTTTTATGAGAAATAAAATTCTTGAATCATATTTTTTTATATTTATATGTATAGCTGAAAAGCGCCCCAAACAACAATTTCATTAAACGCCTGTAAAGTGTATACTTACAAGTAAAATTTGTTATAATATATCTTCACGGGTAGGAATACCGAAATATTATTCAAATGTTTGTCAACCACTGCACAATTGCAAATTTATTTCAATATAAACTGTATTTGTAAAATGTACAAGGACTGCCTGTACTTTCCTTTTCAAAAACCTGACCTACGCAAACTATGGTAAATACCTACGTATCCCAAGAGGAACCGCCATTACAATCGCATCTATTTAGCTATAACAGGTCCTAGAACTCAATTTTAAAGTCCTATAGGTCCCATATTAATAGCTATAGATCATTGTATTGTAGGACTGTAGGTAGACCCCACGACCGCGAAGTTCATCTCGTGCAGAACTCCATCTCATTGCCTTAGTCGCGTAAACTTGTGACAACATTTATTGTACCCTCGTTTTCAAGTCATAAATAAATAAATTAATGAGATCAATAATATAGGTCTTCTTGTAGTATTTACCTTATTTTAGTTACTACGTCAATAATCACGTCTTCTGTGCCGGTGTTCACCACATTTTTGGTGGCGACTAAGAAAAAAATAATTTAAATAGACATTTGTTCAATAATAATTTAAGCAACATCAATAAGTTCCTTAATGCAAATTCAATAATTTACAATTGTATAACGACTGATCTCAGCGTACCACAAATATATTTCAACTAAATTCTATTAAAATTTTAGAATAATTTTAATTCGACAATTTAAGTAGATTTCGTTTTTGGTTAAGGCAATAACAATATAATTGGAGTAATTTTACTCGACTAAGACAAGGCGCATGCCTCATTTAACAGTTCGTATCGCCAGCATTTCAAATAACACTTTTCTCCACCGTCTGTCGAATAATATGCAACGCAAGCACGCAAACACTAACAGCTGCTCGGGTACATAAAAACGCTCAAAACAACCCTACGATATGCGTTTAACATCTCTTTTCTAATAAAATCACATAATAAAATATCTTAATCTATTTTGCGAAGCCCTGTTCGTAATATTCTATTAAGCAAAAATATATTTAATTTAAGGCTTTTCGTCTTTATCAAGGAACCACTCTCAATGTTTCGAACGAAATTAATCTAGATATTATTTTCTTTTAACAAAAATATACATAATATTATACCTTACTGGGAAAATATTGTTCTTCTCTACACTAAACAAAATTTCGTTACTTGTACATAGGTGCTACATTATTTTATAGATTGTATGAACATTTGCAGTGGTTTTATGAATGATTCCATGGATAAATGATTAGAAGTAACAAGAGTATATGAATATTGAAGTTACTGGACCCAGGAGGCAGGCACCCACAGCGGCTCGGACTGCACCCGCCAGGCTGTCTTGAGAAGTTGCGAGAGAGCACTGGCCAGGTCCTCGTTCACGATCTCCTCGTCGAACATGTAGCCGTACAGGAAGTTGATGCGGTTGGACGACCGCGCGATGTCTGAGAACTCTTCTTCCTGTGGGACAAAGTTGATAATCTCAAACTTTAATAGTTCTGCATCATCATACCACACTTTTATTTATTTAATCTTTAATATCATCGTGTCACTGACACAAATTCAACGTGACTTACAGTGAAAGCACGGGAGCATTCCTTGTCGAAGGTGGAGCGTGCATTAGCTGCTGTCCTGGTCTCGATTAGGCGCTCATGCGTAGGTGGTCTGATGAACACGATATAAGGCCGTAATCGAGGGGTGCGGAGCATCTTCAGAGCTTGCCAGTGAGGACTTAATACGCACACGCGACCTAAAAATAATAACTTGCCATTAAAAAACGTCAATAAATAGGTTCTATAACGAATAACACAATATGAACTGTAGCTTAATAAGAAAAGGCTTTCTAAACAGCCGAAAAACGTGTAGGCTGTATCGAGGACATTGTGTAATTCTATAATGTCACATGCTACATAATATAAAGTCCATATAGGTAATATTTCGTAGTCAGTAAGCGCTCACCCGAATTTATGATGGTCTCGACGCTCTCCGCCGTCGTTCCGTATAAATTACCCTTATATTCACCGTGCTCGATAAATTTTCCATCCGCTATATCCTGTTCCATTTTGTCACGACTGACGAACATGTAATCTTTACCATTCTGTTCGCTCGATTTTTGAACACGGGAAGTGACTGGAAGTTTTAATAGAATTACAGATGGCGTATATGATAACATAATTTTGAAGAATGTTTGTAACGTGCGTCAAACTGAACTTACATGGTATAGGTGTCACATATTTCTCAGGATCGGTAGCAATAAGTCTCCTGCGCAACTCATTCCTACCGACACCCGGCGCACCTACCAACACAATGGGTCTGACCATCCCGGGGCGCGGGTATAACCGCGCCACCTCCTCGTATGTCGGTATCATTTCACGGTCAAAATCATCATTTTCTGTAATGTCATATATAACCTTTTTCACTTTAGGTGTAGACTTGCAGGGGAGGAGAGCGGTGGCCGACGGCGTAGGTGAACATGGAGTTTTTGGAGCACAGTCCGAGTTTGAATTGGAGACACTGCAAAGGGCCGGCTTGCCTGCGCCGAGCATGCAAAATGGGTAAATGAAAATGATTTGTGAAATGACAACAGCAGATTATGCCATGCAACACATAATGAATTAGTAAATTTAAGAAATAAGGTTCATATCTTAATGGATCAATCATACTTATAGCAGCATTACTGCGTCAATCGCCATTGCCTGTAGCCAACAGTAATCAATTTGTTAACGTAATCAATAAAACGCACCGTCCAATGTCTGTGGGTCTGTTTGTCTTTCATGAATAATGCGACCTTCTTGTAGAGCTCTTGAAGGTATCAAACCTGCTCTCATTACTCTATCACCTTCCCTTCGAGCTTGCCACCTGAATACAAAGTCAACAGTAAAAACCTTCGCTTTTTGTAAGTATCCAAAGGACTTTAGATAATAATACTTGCCAGTATGCATCATCTTGAGACACGATGTGGAGAACATCTCCTTTCTTGAAGTCAAGACCAGCCTCCTTGCATGGTATGTAAGGGTCTTCTGAAGAGTTGTAATCGAAGAGAGCGCGAACTCTCACTTTACTTTCTCTTGAACCTCCTTTGCCAAATGAAGGCACTAATTTAAAGGTGATTGTGCCTTCAGAACTTTGCTGTGAAATGGATCGGAATTATTTAACTATGCTTGGTGGTAATGTGGTATCGATAATGAGAATGTTGGGATAAGTATGTGTAAGTATTAACATACCAGTATCGATAACACATCAGCCGGTGTTTTGTTTTCCACGCTGATGCCATTGACTTCGATAACTTCATCGCCAGCGTGTATCAACCCAGATCTGTCGGCGGCTCCGCCATGCATTACTCGTGCTATCACGATTTTCCCGGTTTCTTCATCTGTCTTAATCGTGGCTCCCTGTCGTACGAAACATGTCTAAATATTGACACATTCAGATCGACTTTGAATGCCTTCTTTATGTTCTAATGAATCTTGATATCGGAATGTAGTAGTGTTGAGTCACATTAACAAGGTACTAATTGGAAATAAATTATAATAAGACGACACTATGCATAAATCAAACACATGTAGGTTAAATTGATAATAAAATAATAAGCAACATGTATTGTGTGGGGTAAAAGTGTAGGAAATAAAATATTTTAAGAGTGTCATAACAACACAATACAAATTGCATCAGCATCTAGAGATAGCAGCTAATAATTCTTGAATTTTAAGACATAGTGGCGATGAAGAATAACAGATACAGAAGAACATCAACAAGATAAATTAAAAAATAGGTGAATGCGTGTACATACACTATGTGGGTAGGATTGAAAATGATGTTGGAAGCATTCAGATGAATAGCATGAGTAGGTACTTAACATACATAAATACTTACCACTATTGGTTCTGCACTCTGTGCTCCACCCTTTTGATAAAAAACAAATAATTTCATTACACCCTAAGTGATGACATGGTGTTTACTCAGTAATTTCCATAATGTTTAAAACTGCATTTTATATCATATTAGTGATACATGCAACTGCTTCTGATTTGTTTTAGCAAATACATTCTTTACTAATAAATTTATGATATTAGCAAACACTTTCACCTATATATATAATACTTGAATGGTTATAACCAGTTTAACATTGCTATCATACTTAGCTGCTATTTCTAAATGAATTTACTGATTTCTTCAATTTGTTATACCTACATAATGAGAATTTTTATATATCTTACCAAAGGTTCGTCACTCTTGACTAATTGAACAATTTTTACAGTTTCTTCTTCATCATCTAGTTCAGGTGGAACATCAGGGAGATGTGGGTAATAATCTTTTTGAGCAACGGCATCATGAGTGCAAAGTATTGCCTGAAGAATATGATGACAATAATGTTTTCACTATAGTTATGTTTGAATATAATAACTATTTGTAAAGCTATGCTTATTATTAAATGAAGAAAGCAAACACAAAGCCTAACTACTTAACTCAGAAAACTGAGTTGAGTTAAGTATAACACAAACTGAATGTTAGAGACTAATTACTTACTTGGAAATGTGGTTTCTGCAATAAGTTAAGTAGTTCTCTATATTCCTTTGAAACAGATACTACATCATGGAGGAGCTCAAATACTTCTAAAGTTACTTGCATGGCATTAGATAAGAGAGGGTAGAACTTATCATCTTTGCCTTTGGCCACAATTTTATTATGTACTTGAACAAGTGCATGGAGTTGTTTGGACTGCAGCAGTTCACTTAGGAATGCAACATCTTCTCCACCTGATTGTACTTCTTTCAATGATGCAAGGAGACGAGTGAGTGCTATGGAGTACAAATATTGTTTAATTGTAAGTGCTTTGTAATAGATATTAAATATAAGCAACTATGGTCTGTCTGGATAAGCCATAAATTTTATGGATATAACAAAAAACAAGAAGTATTAACAGTGTTAACGATAACTCCAAAATTCAGAAGATAATGCAGAAATTGCTGAATATTAGAGTATGTAAAATGTTGTGTTTTGAAAAAGGATAAACCATACAGATATTAGCATGAGGACTTTAAAGAAGTTGATTTAATTCGTCAAGTACCGTCATTATAGACACAATTATAGAACAATAGGTTGCGGTCACCGGTGACCGCTTGGTGTTTGACAGTTTAAGGATACTTTTCTTCCTATATAAAAAACATGTATATTCAATTGATACACTGACTTTAAAAGTACCTTTTTACCTTATACTATTCTAGTTGGAGAAATTAAATTAGTACAAAATTAAATTAGATAAGTACCCACTTAATGTTGAAATAAAAGACAATTGATCAAATAATAATGGTTTCAAATTAGTTATATCAATTATCATCTATAATCAAGTGCAGAACTGTTTGAGTATATACAAAGGAGCCACAAAAGAGTGCAAGTAAAATTACATAACATTACTAGTTACATTATGATGTGCACTTACCTGGATCCCAATGTTCAGTAGTTGAGTCCATATTCACAAAATTCCACATCAATTAACCTCTGGAAACATTCAGCTACTGACATTCCACTTGGGACAACTTACATAGGCGTTAAATTATTATAAATACAACCGCGCCCTAAGCACCTATTACTACCAATCATACTGATGATAAATGTTTAATTTTCACGTATTTATTTTTAACTACTATTATGTTTTAGTTGAACTGTTGGGATTATTATGTTATTTACAAAGGTGTTTTACTCGTTGAATCTACATGTTTTTTAAAGTTCAATGATACCGACAGAGGTAATGAAAACTGTTAGCAACGATAGGTACTATTTTAATCCCGAAAATGTCGATGTAGGACAGCTATTAATTTACAGACCAACATCATTAGTTTATCTACTTGTCACTAGCTAATTGTACACTAATGATTACAGCAGAGTTAGAGATTTTAAGCCTTTTAAAATAAAAAGCTACACAATCAGAATCAATGGAAATGGCGTTTACGGTTTAAGTTAATGTCAAACGTAGAAAATCAATACTTTTAACATGCGTTCATAGTACCTATTTTGTAGGCCAAAGTTTTGTATATTTTTTCTGATTACATTTCTTTCTTATTGTAATCATTGTTGTTACGAAAGATATATGTAAACTACACACGAGAACATGTCATCATAGACAATCAACAAAAATAGTGCGAATATGAGTCTAGGGCGCCCACACATTAAAATAATGTACTAATAATACTACATATTATTATAATATACTGTATACGAGACTATTTTAATCTATATGCAAGGACCCTATAGGTACTATTCTTCTTTTTTATTTATGATGGGCTAACGTTTAGCCACTATATCGCCTGGTGGTAGGCGATTATGCGGCCTATATATACACCACGACGACTGCCCATGCACATAGGCAACCTATTTATTCGGGTCTTGAAGACACTCTTTACCCTTCATTCTACTACTACATTCTAGCTACGATTTTTTTCTTGACCAAAACTGAAGCTCGAAGCTCTGTCTGGAACTAGGAGTTGGAACGGGGTGGGTATTATTCTTCTCTTTCTGATTCTCTTTCTTTTCACTTATGCCAGGAGAAATCATGATTTAATCCTCTCAAAAAAGGGAATGTCGAGGCGTTAAATCCCTGGGCCCGGAATGAACAAGGCTACATGGGGCCCAAAACTGGTGACATTTTGCTATAAGTTATCTATCATTAATAAGTCGACAGACTCAAAGTCTTTATTTGCATGTTAAGGTAATACATACAGGTCATTACAGGTCTTATGAAATAACAGGCACAGCTTAATGGCCTTTTCCAGGCGTTGCAAATTTTAGGGGTGTCACTAGCTTAATATAAATTACATTTTGGTCAACATTTTTTTTAATATTTATTGATTTATTCGGAATACAGGTAAGTACTTAAAGTATATAATATATTAGTGGGTTAGTGCAAAATGTAAGTGGGTATTCATAAAATGTATAGTATTATATTAAAATGTATAGTATGTTGGTGTGTGCTTGTGGGTGTGAGGGATTATGTATGTATGGGGTAGGTTTTAACATTTAATTTTGGTGTTATATTTTTCTTCGAAGAATTCTTTTGTCGAGTAAAAGCATTTTTGTATTAGTAGATTAATAAGTCGTAAGGAAGTACAATGTTAACATTCAAAACACAAACTATTAAGATAAAGCTTAGAGGTAAAGCAAAAATTTGTGATTTGTCTACTGTGACATTACTGTTAGTAGCTGAAAGACTCGGTATCCACATAAGTCAATTTTATTAAAAACAAAAGTATAGATTGTTTTCGGAGTTTTACCTACCTACTCTTTGGTAATAATTTTGTCTTTGGTCATTTGTAGTGATCTGTGCTTTGGTTTGGTCCCAAGAAGTGTTGCCAACTTATTGGATTTTCCACTAAAACTGGTGCTTTGGACCTCCCAATTTGTGGCGGAATATGGCTTTTAGCGCCTAGTGGATTTTTTGGAAAATTCATTTTCAAGATCCATGATATTGTTTTCATATTATCATTTTTATAGCAAACTGACAAAATTTCAAAAATTAAATTTTATATGGGAGCGTTTTCAAATATTAAATTGTTATTAATTTGCATAACAATACTTAATAAAACTGCTGTATGTTTCATTTTAAATTTCCGTTGTTTTTATGTAGCATGAATTTATTTACCTATTATTGCTATAATACTATATAAATGCACTCTGCATCTTCATTCATTAGTGTTCAAAGGTACACCTTTGAACTATATGTATAATACACAATATATTGAACACTGTAGCAAACTTATGAAATTCTTTCCGTAAAATTACTATAGTGCTACTTTAATGGTACCTAATTGTTCATATCAAAGATCGTGAGTTTATTCATGCTCAAATAATATGTCGAACCACACTAAAGATACGCAAAAATTTCGGGATTCTTGGCTTCTGGATCCATATTTAAAAGATCGGCTTCAAATACAACTACAAGTTATTGAAAGTTCTTCGGGTCAAATAGATATTTACAAATTTGTCGATTTTCAGTGTTGGGATAATTTTTGTTAGTGGATTTCGGGTAGTTTCAAAGGTTAAATCTGGTGGAGCGCTAGTATTTGTTGGCAACACTGGTCGCGAGCCGCGGGCCGCGAGACGAGTCAAGGAAAGAGTATTTAAGAAGTTTAGGTGAGTGAGGAAAACAGTCACAATATTATCAGCTGAAAAGGTTAGTGGTATATTTTGTATAGATCCTTAATATTTGCGAACGAATATTATACCGCTAGTGATATTCAAGTTTGGTGATCTATGCGTATAAATTTATATACTTATTACGCGTATACCTATCGTCAACTAGTACCTGCTGTGTAAAGAAATCGATTGACCTTTAGTGAAACGCCGATTGTTTACTTGCTATTCGCTTTTGTTATTAAAATTGTGTTAGTTTAAAGAAGATCTTAGCCCGAATTGTGATAAAATATTGATATCAAGAGATTCAAGCATAAAAACGGTGAATGGGTGGGTATGTGGAATAAGTAAGATCTCCGGTTTCTATAACTGCGCCCTTCGATTCTTTTATAAATTTGTATTCCTGGCACTTCCCACTAGAGGTAAATTAGTAAAATCTATATTTTGGATAACCACACTCATTTTCAGTTTACTAAAACATTTTATGTTGATTACAAGAAAAATATTATCAAAGTATTTTTATCGTAAAGGTATTGTTGATAATTTATTTTTAAAACTTATTTATATGTATTCTAATTAGACGCGGATTTAAATTATTGAATCAGAATCTACATAGTTATAACCACCTAAAACCAATCGAGTGGATACAGATTTATTTTTTAAGAAACAGAATGATATATTGCACTAGCTTCTGCCCGCGACTTCGTACGCGCAATCCTGTTTTCCCGTCCCTATTCGTAATTTTCGGTATAAAGTAAAAATAAGTAGGTAAAAAGTATCCTATGTCCGTCTCTTGGTTCTAAGCTACGTCCCCACCAATTTTCATCCAAATCGATTTAGCCATTCTTCAGTTATAAATAGTGTAACTAAAACGACTTTCTTTTATATAATAGATTATGTTTCATATAAATCTAAAAAACTGATTGTGGGTATTTCAATATAGATATTCTCAAATATAATAGAATCTTGGCTATGTTGTGGTATAATCGCGCTTTTAAGCACATATTCTCAGAATTTAATTTGTACCCCACTTGATTGGTTAGTGATATGTGTATTGATTATTTTTTTTTTTTTTTTTTTTAAATAAAACGTTGCCCCACACTAGGATTTTCTCCTGTGTCGTGGGTGCGTTTACAAACATACAAGTTCACATACACATCACACCCAGACCCGAAACAACAATTTGTGGATCACCCAAAGTGTTGTTCCGTGCGGGAATCGAACCCGCGACACGTTGCTCGGCAGCCGGTTACCCAGCCACCGCACCAACCGTGCAGTCATGCATCATTTTATACATAATGTTTATGGATGCAAATCTGATGTATTTGATTCGGGCCTGTCAGATCATTCAGTTCAATTATTGATTTGTCCCGTTATATATAAACTTAAAATATTGAACTCGTATGTTGAATTAAAAGACTATTGTCAAGAAAATATTGTAAAACTACCTTCACTCTCTTACATATAATGTTGTCTATGATGAACTGGACTCCGACAATGCTTTTAGCAAGTTTCATGATATTTTCAGCCTTCTGTATAACATATACTTTCCATAGTGAGAAGCAAACAATCACTACTTTTAAATGTAAGAGGACACATAAATATACTAATAATAATAATTCAATATTTATTAATCCTGTTACCCACAAATACCCACAAATCTAAATATTAAATAAATATAATTGCATATAACTTCTATACTTGCTAAAAATAACTTTTTTCTTTAAAATAACAATAAATTTATCAGTATATTAATAATTATTATTTATATAAAAGGCAGTCAGTTTATATAATGCCCCCATGGATTTAGGATCAAGGATTAGGATTGATTCCTTCATCGTTACATAGGACTCCTAATTTTATAACTAGTAAAAGTGAGTGTTAACATCAGCAGGATTTTTCTGCCTACCCACTTCCTTTTTTTTATATCATCCAATGTCTTTTCCTGCCTTGGGTTAGGCGATAAGGAATGTCAGGCTCTTACTGATTAAAACCACTCAATTCTTACTCCTGCTTTTCGAGCCTGATTCCCGGCCTTCCACGCCTACCAATCTGAGATCATACAATCATACTTTCTCAAAATTTGGAAGGTATCGGTGATCATTATGATTCTTAAACCTGGTAAATCTCCACATGAAGCCTCGTCATACCGTCCTATTAGCCTTACACCTGTTCTCTCAAAACTATGGGAGAGGTTCCATCGTCTAATCGCCATAAAAATTGAACTCATCAGCTTAGAGTCTATGCTTTATGCTGTACGCCGCAGCGTAACTTACACTCACCTGTGCCTTTAGCCAAACGCCACTTTACCTCTTGTCAGAGAGAGTAGAAAATAATGAATGTATGGGGATGACACTGACAAGTGTAAAAATTTATGTCAATTCCATATAATTTAGTTTCCTCTACAAGTAGATAAGCGCTAAATAGCATTTAGCTACAGCTGCTGCACAGATTTCAATGGATAGGAGGTTAAAAATCCGATTACCAGTCAGTGCTAAATTACTAACGAAGTGGGTAGATAGTAAGAAAAATTATAGAACTTACTAGTTGTCCCCGCAAACTTAGTACCGCCAAATTTTTTTTTAAATTACACCTAAATCTTCCATTCTCCTTGTAATGAAAATCATGCAAGTTGGTTAAAGACTAACTTTTATTGAAATAATCTCACATACTATTGTATCACTGAATATTGATATACCATAGTAAAAGCCAAGTTCAAGTATTTTGGACGAAGATAATGTGTTCTTCTCAGAGTAAACGTTCCTTACAACGGGAATGAACATAAATAAATAGTGATTATAGATAATGGTACGGAACCATTTCCGCGAGTCCGACCTGCAATTTGCCTGTTTGTTTGTTTTGACGATTGTGCTGGCATGACCAAAGTGCTGGCATAAGTAAATCTTCTTTGTTGTCATTGTCTAACGCAGAACATTTTGTCCCAAACACAGTTTGAAATAGAACTGAGATATTTTTAGGAAGTTGTGAAATATGGAATTTATTGTTTAGTAAAAGTAAAATAAAGCAAACAAATAATGTGAAATATGTAAATAGCTAACTATATTATTTGCTCTGGCCTATGGCGGTCATATCTTAATAATTATATGCATTTTTTTGTTGCTATTTCTGTCACAAAGTAGTTTTGTCATTTTTTGTCTTTAATGGTAATCACTGTGGTTTGACGATACATATACAGCACTTTTTTGAGGTCCAAATCATCTGGATTTCTTCTCTCCCGCCTTGGGCACTCCCTCTGGTGTCAGACTCTAACTGACTAAAAACCTCCCCGTTGTTACTTCTGTTTCGAGCCGGAGTCCCGGTAAACCATTAAGTTGCCCACAGCTCCGGAATCTACAACACCTGAATTCAATATTTCAAAACGCATGAGCGTGAATGAGCCATTTATCGCGACATTTTAATACTAACAGAATACAATACAATAAGCACACCAGCACATGCCGTCATTACATATTCCTTTTATAGTACCCATCGTATGTGATTGGGATAGCAAATTAGCAACCGTATTTCATAAAGATTACAATTTTAATGTTTCGTAGGGAATTCAAACGAGCTAACGTTTGTTTGCTATTGCACAGTTTATTCATATAAATAGCAGCTATTGTTTTTGTGTAGCTAAGTGCGCGTCTTTTCAGCTGTCAGCTGGAAATGGAAGTCTTTGTAATAAAACTAAAATAATGCAGTAGTGGTAAACGTTATTAGGGAGAAACCAGTAACTTATAACAAAAATTATGTATCGTAAAAGCATTTTAATAAAAGAATATGCGTATAGAATATTTCCACATGTATTAAATTAGCTAATGAAATTGATAACGCCACTCGAGCCAGGGTCAAGGTCTTTCAAGTACCTGGTACAGACTACTGAGCACAAACCCTTCCTATTGTTGTTTGGCTATTGTTTTTTATATCTCTAAATCAATGTCATTATTTAGTAAGTATGAGTTTGCAGTGAAAAAATAGAAATAAGTAGGAACCTACGTAGCTGTATTTTTTCAATTTACCTACATTAAATGAAAAATAGAACTAAGTGGGTACCTACTTACCTATTTTTTCAATTTACCTACCTAAATGAAAAATAGAACCAAGTGGGTACCTACTTGCCTATTTTTTCAATTTAGCTACATTAAATGAAAAAATACAACTAAGAAGGTACCCACGTAGATGTATTTTTTCAAATCACCTACCTAAATAATAATAGAACGAAGTGGGTACCTACTTACCCATATTTTTAATTTACCTACATTAAATGAAAAAGTAGAACTCAGTTGGATTTACATATTTTTTAAATTTACCTACATAGAATGAAAAAAAAAACTAGAATGAAAAAAAAAACTTAGTGGATACCAACTTGGCTATTTTTTTTAATTTACTTACATTGAATGAAAAATATTGGTTACAAATTTAGTTCTTACAAGTTCATAGAGCCGCTTATTGTTGGCCGATTTATCATTTGTTTTGGTTCACCTAAAGATACGCTGACCTAGTTATATTAGTGCACCATGCAACTACGTGTGACTTATTATCGGAATTAGATTAGCCAATTGACGACGATACCATACATTAATAAAAAAACCATATATTTTGCAAGTTACAATTTACTTTTAAAAATAAACTGAAGATATAAAATTTGAGAGAACCCTGGGGCACAGGCCTCCTCCAGAGATTTCCTGGTCCTCCGCTATTCCTAGCCAGTATGCTCCGTTCAGACGTAAGATATCGTCCTCATTGTGTGTGTTTGGTCTTGGTTCTTGTTTTTTCTATCGGTTGCTATCAGGTTGTTAACTTTATTGTTAACTACATGTAGTTTCTTTTGCTACGTCGTTGTAAATACCCTACACTAAGGTTCCTCTTGTGTCGTGGGTGCGTTAACAAACCTACAAGTTAGTGTTAACGCGCAGGAATGCATAGTACTTGTGGACATCTAATCCTGAACAATTTTGTGTTATTTGTTTCAGCCGTAAGAGATGCTTGATGCCGGGCACTCACACGAACAATAAGCCGGGGCCGGCAGATCAGATCTCGGCCTGCAACGAGGAATCTGCAGTTGAACTAGAGCTTCACCTCCAGAGGCAGCTGGAGGATGATATTGCGAGGTAACCTGATAGCGAACTGGACAAATGTCTCTTTACTTTTTTAAATACAGTACTATATGTGTACATATTTATAAGTAGTTCACCATGCTAACAATATAAACTTTGACTAAAGCTTATTGATTCGTCAGTAAGTCATATTCATCTTGTAAGTGCTATTAGTAAAGCGAATTAAAAAAGGCTAGTATATAATTTTAGTTGTTTTTTCTTAATTATCCCATCGGACAACTTAGTCACAACGAAAAATGCGATTTTCAAGTTGTGTTCACTTCTTTTAAAACAAAATATTAAATATTATTTTTCTTATTTTTATATTTTATATCTCACAGAGTACGGGGAAGACAGGAATAGGAATAAAGGTGATGCTTGTTGCCCATACACGTCAATAGCGGTCGTATATTTGGTATAAATCTTTATTTTTTGTGTTTGTTTGTTCCTTTTTCATATTACATAAAAGGTAATCATTAATACATCCGCTGCCTGTCTTGGGAACTAACCTGTCTTAGTAATTAATCTAAATTCGCATAATGTGATGTCCTGAGCATCCCCTGGTATATAATATCTAATATATAGGTATAGGTACTACTAACATTATGCTAACTGAGGATGTTACGGAGATTCGACCCTGGTTCCGATGGCTGAATTTTCCAATTAATGCAACACCTGCTAATCCAGTTTCGGTTCCACACAACGACGTAACATCCTTAATGTAAACTAAAACCGCTGTATTTACCGCTAACTCACTGTCAAAAATCTGATAGATTTTATTATTCAATTGTTAATTGTAATACTGATTTCATTTTACATGTAAAGTTCTTGAAAATTATGTGATGATGTTATATCCGTCTGGTAGATTATTTTAAAACATTATCGTCGAAACAAAAACTTTCAAATATCGAATATGGGGTGACGTCACTTCTAGGTACGTTTTCGACATAGAGATGACGTTAAACTCCTAATCTTAAACTTTGGTTAGTTTTATCTAAGTATTGTTTTCTTATACGACAAAATAAAAAAAATACGTGTCTAATATTTTGTTATTACCTAACTGACGTACTAAATATATTTTTCATTTTTATATCCCGTTATCATTCTATTGTAAACATATTGTTAATGACGTAGAATTAGTACGTGCGGTACAATACAACCTTCGGTGCTGCTGTTGTCTTGTGTGTCTGAATGGATCACCAAACTACACATGCCATTTTGTTAATAATTCTACCTATCCATCATGTATATGCCCGTTTTATAGAACTCCATGCTTTTGTCATATGAATTTAAATTAATTAACTCGGTCTTTACCTTTCAAACTACAAAAACTACCTATAAATTATTATAAGTAGTAGTCAAAGACCTGGATAAACCCCAACAAAATTGTGCTAACCCTTTTAAACAGTGTTATTCAGCTTGCCTTGTTTGTTTTTCTAATTATGGAGGTGGTGGGCCAAGGAATTGTTAGTTACTAACTATGCTTCATAACATTTAATTGTTACAGAATCTTTGATGAATCTATTTACTCTGATCTTGAAGTGGTGTGTGGGAAATTAAAGATACTAACTCATTCTTGCATTTTAAAAGCACGCACTGATCAATTTTATCACCAACTACATACATTTTTGCATGTGAACATTGAGCGCAATACTTTCGATGAAATATATTCTTTCATAAGGTATGGACAGTTGGTTAATACTTTAATGTTCTAATTATGCTAGGTTTTAAGTGAATATATATGAAGTTACTGTATAAATAAAAGTTTGTATACATCTTCTAGCTTAATTTCTGTCTATAATATGCTTACTTATGCAATGCCACGCTTTACTCCGTAACTACTGAATGCTTGTAGTTTCTGGCTAAAAATTTCCGTACTTATACTGCGGTATTGCAATAATTATATTGGTAGAAATACTTTTATGAAGATCTTATATATTATAGTAATACGGAGACATTATTGACAGTCATTGATTAAGTATAGAAATTGATGGCGCACAGTTAGTAAAGCAAAACAAAAAGTATTTTATAAATATTATTGGCTTTCTTGTAACGTCGAATGACCTACTTACGTTGGTTTGACATGATTTAACAGTGTACAGCTGTACATCATCAGCACTGCAATGTTTACACTAAACATAAGTAGGTATCTACTTTAAAAGAATGTAGAATTTACACGACAGTCTCTACAACCTGTATACAACTCAGGGTCGAACAGGCATTAAAGACTAACCCATTTATAAATGTCTATTATAAAACAAGCATAGGCTAGTTAAATAAAAATTTTAACAATAACTATATAGGATGTCATGGCATTTTTATAATTGTAATATAACAATTTGTTCTCTTTTCTCTCAGTTTGTCTTACAAACAATTGTATCAATACATAGTATAAAACAAAGTCGCTTTCGCTGTATGTCCGTATGTATGCTTAGATCTTTAAAACTACGCAACGGATTTTGATGCGGTTTTTTTTAATAGATAGAGTGATTCTTAAGGAAGGTTTGTATGTATAATACATGCATATTGCACCCGTGCGAAGCCGGGGCGGGTCGCTAGTGTACTTATAAATGTATTTATGCTTATACCTGTTTGTAATGTTTTAACTGTCAATGTTGTAGTATGTTCAGTGTTGATAAAGATTGCCTAGTTAATGTATCTATTTTGTTTTAGTGATGTTTACACTGAATGCAACATTCAACATGAAGAAAAAGAAATAATTAAGTTTCTTCAACGCAATTGGAGTGCTTTAAAACCCGTGTCAGTGAAACCCAATAAAATAAAAGAAGAAGGCGAGGAATCCGAAGTTTTCTCCACACCCAAGTGTATTACCCCATACGTAGACAGCGACACCCACAAAGCTATTCAATCTAGTCCTAGCACGGAATTAACAAAAGAATATTATGCACTAGTTCCAATAGAAGGAAATTTATTTGAGAAGGAGCTTATCGAGCAAGACGAGCTTTCTAATGCCTTCCATTCTATAATAAAAGGTCAAACAGAAGATAAAAATCAAGTTAAACAAATACAGCTAAACAAACCTACTTCGCTACCCTTGAATTCTAGTCATACTTCCAAAACAGTTAAGCATTCCAGTAGTAATAACATTTTAAATAATATTTGTCTAAAAGATAAAACCTCTCCGAAACCTGAACACAACCTAAGTACAGCGGCTGATAAGGACTTCAAAAGTAATCAGACATTGCCGCTTTGTGATACTGCAGGACGTAATACTACTACTAAAACCAAGTCTAACTCATTGGATGCTGCATATTCCCCGGATAGTTTAATCACGGATGAGCCCAGTTCTTCTTCTGATTATTTGTCTGCAGCATACACTTTTTCTCCAGGTCTTACAACGTCTGGTTTCCAACAACAAGTAAATGTTGAGAACATCACATCCAAGATGGAGAATATTTATACTTGGTCAGATTCGGGACTGGAGGACCCTGCAATGTTGGGTAGCGTCAATAGTCAAAAGGACGTCACTTTAACAAATATGTCTTTATCAGAGAGCACGGTTCATGACTTAGTTGCTGACGATGCAAGCATCTCAGTGATATCTGTACACAGTTCTTTAGAAGATCAGCTACAAAGATCGAAGCAGAGCGGCACTTCTTTAGACCAAGATTGTAATGGTCAAGGTAGCCTTCCAGAGCTGAGTGGCAAGTCACTAAAAGAAGAAAAGCAGAGACAGAATGAAGAAATTGTCATACTAGAATCGTCCTCACTATCCTCTGAAACGGGTTCCTGGGAGTCTGTGTACCCGCCTAAATTAGTTCAAAAGGAAATTTGCGAAAGGTTTTTACTCAATGAACGCCAGAATTATTTTAACACTTCTGGTTTAGTCCAAAAATCACCTTTCAAATCTACAACTTGTTTTATAGATGCTTCTAGCTTAGTTGATGAAGATGAGTGTCTTGAATTAGAAACCACTACTATCGCATCTTCCACAAATATTAAGTTAGAAATTTTACCTACACCAAGTAAACCGGTACCCTGCTCGACTATGAAGCCGGACAACAGTCCAGGTGATTGGTCAGAAAGTAACGACAATGATGATTCATTAGAACAAAGTGAGAAAAAGGATTCTGATTCAATAATAAAAGATTTATCACCTGTTATTTTTGAAATGACCCCAATTACAGAAGACTCATTGTGCACAAATGCATTTGAAAATGCAGCTCAATCTGATGAAGGTGCAGATGTGGAAGCAAATAGGAAATATTTATCAGATAAAGAGAAATTGCGCAGTGCAGGGTACATGCGATGCTTTGCCACAAGCACACCAAACAACTCGATATTGTCAGTGAAGAAATTTAAAGCGTACGAGTCAGAAGACAGTGAAAGTAACACTATCATCGATTCTGACAGTTCTTCAATGAATGTCAGGAAAGGTAGTCGTTCTCCTCCAATTCTATCTGGCGGCGTGTCAGTAGAAGATCATTTACCTCAGGTAGGAAATAATCAAGAAGGTAATCCATTACTCAAATCTAAGCAGAATGAAACAAGTACCGTAACAGGAAAACAAAGTTCTTCTTCGGCTTGGGTAGTAGACATGTCAAGTAATCTGGAAACGGACGACGGTTCATTGGTAGGTAAACTATCCGATGAATCAGTTAACGAAAAAAAGAATATATTTTCTATGTACATAGATCTAGGTGATAATTCGACCTTGAAAGATATGCCTTCCAGACTATCTGCTTCAATGAAAAAGAATACTGCAAATGTCGAAAATAAATTGGCTCCGCAAAAATCTAAAACTACAGAAAGAAACTCTAGAGACAAAGACTCCACATTTGAGAAATATGAAGCTTTGTGTGAAGATCCCAATATTAGTATTTCTGAAATAATAGCGATTCCAGGAAGAAATGAAAACATTGTAAAGGACAGCGAAGATTCTTTCATTGAACAGCCGCGGAAAGTAAACCAGCCTCAAGCACAGGAAGAAACCGAAAAAATAACCTCCCCTAAAGAACTTTCTGCGAATTCTCAAGACAGTAGCTTTGTGAAACTCTCAGACTTAGATAAACCGGTGCAGAAAACAGATATGTTGGTCTCTATCGAAACTAAAGGAGTCGATGTACGGATGACAAGATCCATTCCTGACTGGGGCGAACAAGGATTTTCCACGAACTCAAGATCGATAGAAGTTATTACTTCTTTTCATTCAGAGAATGCGCTCAGCTTGAACAGACTATTTCCACACTTACAAAATGAATTTAGTAGGAGCATGCCTGGTTGCCTATCGAGTAGAACGCGGTCACCATTAAGACTAGGCACATCCAGCACCATCGGTGATGGCGATGAGCAAGGGTCCGATATGTCGGAAATAAGTAGTATGCAGAGCAGCAACTGTCGCTCAGGGTTTGGTAAGTTCAAAAAACCTAAGCTTATTATATGACTTGTAGAATTGGAATTAATTCCTGAAACTCATTTTAGGGAACAGTACTACAGACAGTCAGACTTCCAATTTAATTGAGAACTGTACTTCGCGTCTTGGACAAGACTTACTCAGAATGTTTCTTGAGGAAATCGCGCCTGATGTCATTGTGGAAGTGTCAGGAAAACGATTCAAGGCACACAAATGTATATTGTCATCCAGGTAAAGGGATATATTTCTATTTATAAAGACGTTTTGACATAATTATAGTTAGTGTAATCTTAGTGCATTACTTAAGTTTTGGAATGTTTCTCTTTCGAAGTCTATTGTGGAATAATCAAGTTATCAGTTAAGAGCGTTGTCGGTCTTAACACGAGTTGTCTTTTTCAGATGTCAATACTTTGCTGGTATATTGAGTGGCGGTTGGGTGGAAAGCTTGGGGAATGTTATCGTGCTCCCCCCGTGAGTATCGTATTTATTAATTACTAGCGACCCGTCCCGGCTTCGCACGGGGGGACTTAAGATTTTTTACATAGTTTTACGTTTTATCAACCGATTGAACAATTCAAAAGTTATCTAGAGCAAACTTTTATAAGGATTGAACCATTCATTAAAACTATTGTTATGAGTAAACTATAAAAGGTAGACATATGCTCTCGCGGACTTTTTTAAAAATAATGTTAAGATGAACAATTCATCTATAGAGTGTTTTTGTATAACTTTAACTATATGCTCAGCGCACGCCACGGAAGGCCTCAGAAACGATACTTTTCCCCCGTTTTTAAAACATTTTTGGTTACTGCTCCACAACTATAGGACCTAGCGTGATATTATATAGCCTATGTTACTTCTGAATAATGCAGCTTTCTAATGGTGAAAAAATTATTGCAATCGGTCCAGTAGTTTTTGAGTTTATTCATTACAAACATACAAAAATACAAATCTTTCCTCTTTATAATATTAGTATAGATTTTCATAATCTGTGTGAAAGGACAGAGGCTTTTCACCCTTTCTATTGGTTGGTTATCTAGTGATAGGTACTTTAGGAGCTAAACCAAATAACTTTGGTAAAGCTATTGTGGAAGGTATGTGATGGTATATGGTTCGATATTAGTAAGGTATTTGGCGGTATTGGTAACTGGTAGGTATGTAGTCGTGTAGTGCGGCTACCGTACTATAGTTTTATCTGGAATCTGTAGGTGCCATACCCAAATATTGAACAACTTACCGAGTTACAGTTACAGCATATGATCCGTCATCGCAAAACTGAACGCTACGTAGCTTCCTCCAACAGTTTGTAATATCAAAATGCAAATGTCTTTATGGTCCGTGAAGCATTCCGTTCTTTTAAAATGTTAGAGAGACAGTAAAAAACTCGGCTCCCCGATTTCTCCCGTCAATCGTTTGAAAAGCAAAGAAAACTCCTTCACGACCTACTGTTGAGCAACGTAAATAGTACGTCTAGATATAGTCGCGGGTGAGAACTCTGTGGAGTTAGCCATGTGCTATAGCAGACCAAGGTACATGCATGCACTGTGTTTTGGTATTAGCATTCTGTTGGAGTAGAACGCCATTTTAAACGTGATCTTTTACTTCCCTAAGTAGTAGAAAGCCAACGTCGCTATTTCGGCGAGGTTGACGAGTACAAAATTGTCAGATTTGGGTTCAAAGTAATGATTTTTATAATAATAATGATTTGTACATTTATAGTCTAGATTATCTGGATCGATGGTTTATTGATGTTTATTTACTTTTACTGTTTTAGGTTTTCATACAATGTGGTGTATTTTGCATTGTGTCACATATATTCTGGTCTTGCAACAATTCCGGATTCGGTGAGCATCGTTGAATTGGCAACTATCGCTGATATGTTGGGCTTAGAGGGTCTTAAGGAAGCCATAATGTTTACGTTAAAGGCTAAATATTGCCATCATTTCCATAAGGTGAGTTTTATAAGCTTTACAAATAAAGTTAATTTTACCTTAGTATACAGGGTATCCAGTAAGTAGTGCACAATACTGTGAGCGGTGATAGTTGAGATCAATACCTACCAACTACTACTAAACATCCCAATATACGCTCAGCGATTGTAACCGAAAAATCGGTTCCTTGACACACATCTTTTAAGATATCTTAGTGAAAAAACCTTTTTTTAATAAGTTTTTGTATATCGAAATATTTGTGGATAAATACTCTTTTTTTTATAACAGTAATTAGAGAGTTATTAGGAAAGAAAACTTCCTGTACCAGTTTTCATAGAAAAATTTTCTTGTCGCTTAACAAGGAGGATATTTTCCTTATAAAAGAATCTCCGATAGAAATTCATGCCATATTTTTTTACCAGTGTAGCTTACTAGTACACCCGTGTGGAAGACTCTTGGTTAACGAGAATCTATCATCGGCTTCAATTTGCTCATGAAAATACCCCCAACTTCAGTTCTGAAATGTATAGTTTGTTAGGTACTCTAGTTACAAATGCAAATTTTTACATTTCAGCCGTGCGCTGTGTGCATAGTCGGTGTGTTGGAATGCTTCCCATTGTCTGCTGTTTATGGTTTGGATGATTTATATCTCAAATGTGTCAAATGGATTACGAAACACTTTACGAAAGTTTGGCCAACCAAGGCGTTCGCAACGCTGCCTACGGATCTCTTAGATAAGTGCTTCCAGCATCACACTGTCAACCTATCCGTGGACAATGTGGTAGAGACTGTTTACGGCTGCGGCATCACTACTGCGTCGTTACAAAACTCTAAATGGGCTGAGTCCGTAGCACGGATGTGCCGAAGGCTCATAAGTGTAGCAGCGCACTTCGCGGGCCCAAGGCTCCTCGCTGTTTACCAAGCTATCCCTCCATTACCAAACGAAGCGCCACAGGCCGCCAAGCAAGCTCTCGATGATTTTCATGCTGCTGCTATCGAATGGGCACCTCCGGACGAAGTCTGTCGTGCTTATGGTTTTCTTTCTGCGCTCCTCAAAGAAATGCGCAATAGTCAGTACTCGAAACCTGATTTGATTAGTAACGGTACTGAAAACCGTAAAACTTTGGGCCAATACACTATACTGTACTCACAAGCGGGCAACTGGCGTATGCAGTGTGAGGGCGCGCTAGTGCGAGCCTCGCCCAGAGTTGTCACTACACAGGCGTTTAAGGAGTTACCATCGGAGTTACGTAAAAGGCTGCGAGAGCTCGGTTGTATTAAATACGGTGCGCATGCGTTGCCTATATCCTCTCCTACGCATCAGCAAGAGAGAAAAATTAAATCGACCACTGTTACGAAAACAAAGCCATCCAGTTCATCGCCTCGCAATATTGACATAGCCCACGTGCGTGCTTTATTTGTGCCTTATTCGCCTAAACCGATGTACCCAGTCGGATCTGTGGACACTCTTAAGAGTAGCAACGATGTCCGTGATAGCAAGAAGTCGATTGTGTCCACTAATCCACCAAAGGTGAGGACGACGAAAGCACAAGAGGAGCGTGCCAAATATAATAAAATAAAGAACACTAAATCACAAGACAAGTTAAATACTAAAGCTAGCTCAGCGCGGGCTCCATCCTTCGAGAAGACTAAGCCGAGGTATTTAGATATTAAACAAAAAGATAAGAAAACATCAGTTGTGAACAAACACCTGCCAAAAATTGAATCGTCAAGTGAATCGTCTCGTAACTCAAGCCCTATACATTTGAGAAACTTACGGTCGAGTCCCCAGAAGGGGCGGCGGGGGGAGATGGTCCCGCAGACCATGTCGCAGGACAGCCTGGCCACCAGCTCGCGGCCACGCACCGCGGAGCCGTCCACGGACTCGCTCAGCGAATCACAAACGAGCAACAGATATGCTACCTACACGAAGACGAAGCACACCAAGGGCACAGTCGACTGTCAGTATTATTTTATACTATTTTATAGCAACAACTACTACTACTACTACTACTTAACTCCACTTCTTCGGCCTAACGGGTTTAATGGTTCAAACATCTGGTTCACCATGCATTTTTAAAAAACTAGTTTGAGATTATACTGAGTTCATTAGAAGGAATTGATTTGATATAGTTCTATAGTACTTCCTTGATAAATAGACAACCCAACCCAAAAAAAAAAAAATAATCAAATCGAAATAGTATTTCCTGAGATTTGCGCAGTCAAACAAACAGACTCAGTTTCAGCTTTATTTATTAGTATAGATATCGATTTTTCTTACAGCGAGCAAAATATTTAAAAATGTTGAACCGACAACTGCTAATGTGGCGTCTAATAAAACTAAAACGAAGATACCGGTATATTTGAACAACACATCAATATCCAAGGGGCTGGAAAATCGGTCCTCCAGGAATCAACCAAAGCCCAGTCCGAGGAGCAACAACAACATGGTTCCCACTAGACCCCAGGATCGTAAAGTGCCTGGTTCGTTGATGAACGCAACGAAGTCAAGCTCCGCGAAGGTTGTGCCCAAGGTACGTAAATCCATTGTAAAACGAAACATATTTTTTCTGTGTCGTGGTGATTGATCCTGGACATGTTGTATCTTTTATACTTTACGTTAATTAAAACACGCGTTAAAATTGTTTGTTCATTGCAGGTAGTGAAAGAGAAAGACCCACCGAAAACTATTATGTCCAGGAGTCAGAGATATGGACAGACGAGCCGACATCAGCATCAACACCAGCACGAGGAGAGGGGGGAGCCTTCTGTCAGAGACATTCCCGTCATGGAGCGCTCCGGCACATTCTTAAAGGATGAACCCACTTTCGGAGATAAACTAACTAATTTAGATATATCTCAATGAACGCCTATAACGTAGTAAATTAGCTACCAGCTGACTAGAGAAATCTATTTCATAAAACTTCCAAAACTACGTTTTATTCATAAATAATCAGCAAGGTCACTTCACATGAATGCTTTATCAACTTATTTCTGTGACGAATAGGTAGATGAAATATTCTGTAGCTACAATAGGTTTGCAACTTTTTATGAATAAGATAGTATTTGTAGTGGTATTTATTTCAAACTCCAGCTTCTTATACTTTTCGTCGAGCTTTAAATATAAAATCGTTGTAGGTGCAATTGAGGTATAATGTATATAACAATTTTAAATAGTAATTTGTATCTCTGTACGTCATCCTCAAACTTGAGAACATCGACGGAAAATCATTTTTCATCTGTTATTGGGTAAGCAAATCATTTTTTTTTCTTATGATCAGTATACATATACATATTAGTATCCATTTATTATACCGTGGCATTAAGAGAAGTAGTATCTATTGGATGGTTGCCTTGGTTACAAGACAGAATGTTATAATACTTACACAATATTTGTGGAGTTGATGTTAAATTTGTACCTGTAAATAGAAACCAACACATAGGTTATTAAAACTGACTAACTTCTCTTGCAATATTTCTTCGATTGTTATTAATAGAATATAGTTTGATCTCTGATTCCACCCAAAATATGAATTAGCGCCAATTTTACTGAACATATTCTATATATTACCCACTTATATTCCTGTACACACGTGGAATGTGCATTCAAATTACCAATTCTATGTAAGGCTACCATATATTAAATAATTGCTTTGAGCTATACAGCATTTGCTTAGCAATGGGTTCTTATCTAAGCGAGAGGAATCCATGAAGATTTCCCATCTTGGGGTAAAAAAAGATCTAATCTCTATCGGGGTTAGGATATTTTCGGCACCGAAATTCACAGTACCTAATAGAAATAATCTATAAATGTGTCCTTTCTTTTAGTTAAATACCCTTATGGCAAGTTGATTTGTTAACAATAAAATGTGTAATGACATTTCTATTTTCAGGTAGCAATTCGGAAATTTAAACAAATATAAATTTGATTAACATTGCATGTTTATAAATAAATGGACACATGATATGGAGACTGATATTACAAGAAAAAAATTAAGGTTTTAATGAAAAACATTACAAAGGATAAATTGATGTTCAGTAAATTCTCCAATAAGTAGGTACTGTAGGTAAGTCCTTTATAACCGAAGTAATTTAAGTTTAACTTTAGTTTTTATAACTAGCCACTGTATAATAATCTATTGTATATTTTTTGCAGAGATTAATTATATAAGTAACGTCTGAGAGTAAGACAAAGAGAAGAAAGAATCTATACTTCAGCAACAGACTGCTCTCCTTATTTATAAATTGTAAGTAAATTTATTATATTTAATATCAGTAGAAATATTAAAATTTAATTTCAGAAAACCACTTAATAGAAGCAACATCCTATACAAGCAATAAAAATGATGACTCCATAGTCTTCTTGGAATATATATAATTGAAAACTTAACATAATTGTCTTTATAATAACTTAAACTATACATAACATA